TGCAGAAGGAGAACACAGATGTCTCGCAGGAAGAGATACAATGTGAAGAACTTGAGTGAGGGGAAGAGGACAGATGCAAACACTTCTTCTCCAGCTCCTGCACCTATATAGGAATAACAGAAACTTCCCTTTGATTCTAATTCCTGACTGCTATTCCCCTGTGTATTTCCTTGGATCCCAGTTCTTGCCTTGGAGGCTATTTCCTTACTGCTATTTCTTTGATTCTCATTGAATATTATTTCCTTCACAGTTCTTTCCTTGGAGGTTATTTCCTAATAAATGCTGGTTTTGTGCAAATAGAGTGTCCTGTGAGCAGGGAGAAATATCTGTATATGTTCAGGGCTGTGCACGTGTTTTTGTGTATATGTGTGTATGCTCATATGTCTGCTGCCAGAAGCAGGACTCACATTTGACCTGGCAAGGATTAAACCCCTGGGATGGAGCTGGTGGATCAAACCCCACTGATGATGCAAACCCCACTGAATTAAAATTTTCCTTGTTACTGCCCTTTTTGCTGATGTATTTGTAAAAGCAGTTTCTCTTCTCTTTTGCTGTGTTGTTCAGTCTGAACAAAAGGAGGCTCAGGGGGGACCTTCTGGCTCTCCCTGACACGAGGGGCAGCCTGGAGGGCAGTCGGGCTCTTCTCTCAGAGAACAGGGACAGGAGGAGAGAAAATGCCTTTGAGTTGTGCCAGAGAGGTTTAGGTTGGGCTTTAGGAAGAATTTGTTCATAGAGGGAAGCATTAAACATTGGAATAGACTGCGCAAGTGGTGGAGTCACTGTCTGAGGAGGTGCTTGAGACACAGCTGGCCATGGCACTCAGTACTCTGGGCTGGGAGACAAGGTGGGGATTTGGCACAGGTTGGACTCCATCTGGGAGGGCTTTTCTGACCTCACTCACTCTGTGATTCCGTTACCATGACTGAAGCCTGCCCTGCCCCAACTGCTCAGGGCCACCCCACCCTCACAGGGAGGAATTCCTTCCCAATATCCCATCTAACCCTGTGGAAGCCTCTCCCCCTTGTCCTGTCCCTCCATCCCTTGTCTCAAATCCCTCTCCTCTCCTGAAGCCGCTTTAGGTCATGCAAGGGGTTCTGAAGTCTCCTTGGATCCTCCTCCTCTCCAGGTGAATAACCCCAGCTGTCCCAGCCTGGCTCCAGAGCAGAGGGGCTCCAGCCCCCAGAGCAGCTCCATGGCCTCCTCTGGACTCACTCCAGCAGCTCCACGTCCTTCCTGTGGTGGGGACCCCAGGGCTGGAGGCAGCTCTGCAGGTGGGGTCTCACCTGAGTGGGGCAGAATTCCCCCTACCTCTCTGGTTACACTGCTGGGGATGGTGATAATCTCCTATTTTGGTGCATTTGTAAGCCAATAGAATATAGAAACTGCACCAGCAGGGATTTACCTTTGCAGAGGCCAGGTTCTCTGGTTGCTCTCTCCCCTTGTGAATCACCACATCTTCCAACTTGGAGTTCTCCAAGGTCTGTGTCCAGACACTGGATTTTGCTTTATCTTTGCCTTTGTGGTTCAAGCTCAGCCAGGTGATTTCTCCTGCAGCAAATCACCCCTTGCTCTCTTTTTTGTTACACAGGCTACCTTTCTCTCATTTCATGAGGGATCTCATATAATTCCTGTGGCTTACCCTTGAGCGTTTTTTTTTTTTTTTTTTTGAAAGTGAGGTCAAAATACCTGGGCAGGAGTTTGTTATGAAATAAGACATCCCCGTCCCTTCATGATTTGGTGAGCTTGGTGCCCTTTCCCATTCCTTGACCTGCCTCAGATGTTCGTTCATTCATTACCAGCTTACAAAACCTTATTGAGTTTAATAGAAAACATGTTTGAAAGTAGAAAGAACCTTTGTTTTATGTAATGTTAATGCCTCAGCTACTTGGGGTTCAACACCTGTGGTTCACAAGCCTCTTGTGGCTCAACACATTTACTACAAGGCTTACTTTTTTTCTTCTTAGAGAAGAAATACTTTTCCTGTGCCTGTGCAAATGAGTCCCACAGCTACTCCTGCTGGTAAAACACCTTCCACCTCCAGTTTTCTCAAAGCAACTCTGTGCTGCAGTGTCCACCAAGAGCCTTCTTGGTGCTTCCCTGCTAGCTCTGGCAGAGCGGCTGCAGGGGCCACCCTTCCATGCTCGGGAGTGCGGAAGGGCAGCTAAGGGTTATGAGCTCTTTCCTCGGAAGGCACTCTCAGCGAAGGTGAGGGAACCAGGAGGAGACAATCCAGGCTGTTTAAATGCAAGGTTTATTGGTAGCTCTGGAGAGCTCCTGGCCTCAAAGGATATAACTCTGGAAAATCCCCGAGGACACCGAGCAGCCCCTATTCTTAGGAGGTGGAAACAAGGGAGGGGTTTGGCTATCCACCAGTGGGGGGACAGAGGGAAGTGGGACATGAAGTACTTGACAAGCAGGACAACGTATCGGGGAGCTGAGGAAGGGGGACCCCTGGCCCTTGGCCAATCACTCGGCACCCTTCGTGGAAGCTTCTAGAGAGAGGGGCTGGAGAGTCAAGTGACAGACAAGGTGCCAGGGAGGGAATATGGGGATTGACAAGGAAATTTCTAGCGATTTGTAAGGAGTGGGGATAGGATTAACATTTAGGGAAGGGGAGACAATTTGGGATGAAACCATAAAGTAGGGAAAAACAGGGACAAACCAAATAACACATTAGAACAACTTTGAGCTTTAAGTGGGCTCCTGCAGGGAGGGTTCATTCCTTTTGTTGTTCTGGAAGTGCTGCACACATCTGATACTCTGTCTAAGTAATCCTGCAGCTCTGCTGGTTCCAGATATAGCTGACCTCAATAAGTTGACAGGAAAACACCTCCTTTCCAAAACGAGCATTTATTTTAGGGATTAATTTTAGTAGCATTTGGGTTTATTGCCCTTTTCTGTTGCTGTTACGTATTTGGAGGAGAAGCAGACATTGGATGTGACGCTCATGGTGTCTCATAACATTAAACTTTCATCCCTAATAAAACACTACAAAACTTTTTGAAATGATGAAGACAGAGCTGCATCATTAAAACTGAGATCAAAGAAAACTTCTTCTTTGAGGTCAAATTGTTCAAAAGACGATTCATTGGCCTGGGAGAGAAATCAAGTGTAAATTCCTCTCTACAACCTGTTTTAGTTTCATCCTTATTTTTGTCATCTATAAGGGGCAGCTTCCCCAGAGTTTACGACTTGGAAATGTTTCTGCTTTGGAAGGACTGACTGACATCACGAGGCAGTGAGCCAGAAGGACACCCAGCCACTCTCATCCCGAGCAAGTCCTTCCAAATCCCTGTCTGTTCCCCTTTCCATCAGGTTGGACGGTGCCTTGTGGAGGGCAAGTGCTGAGTTCCCTCCCACCCTGTCCCAAGGGAAGTGAGCAGGCAGGGAGCTGAGGGATGATTCTGCAGGAACAGAGCTTTCTGTTTGATTATGATGCTCACTTCCCTTGGGGGCAGTACTGGTCAGGTCAGCTGTCTGTGGCTTTGGAAGGGGCTGGAGAGCAGAGGCTGCAAGGGAGAGTGGAGAGACAGCAAACCAGCAGAAATTCCATCTTCTCAACTGACAGACAAAAAAAAAATCTGATGGGTATTGGTTGTGTCACACCCCAAAATGCTCTAGGTTTGCTGCTGCTCTTCAGTAAGGATCCGTGCCCGGGGACAGCAAGTGACTCAGTGTCACCACAGGGAACAGGGTGTCACAAGGGTGGTCAGACACCACTCCAGGCAAACTGCAGGAGAAGTCAGAACCACAGAATAGCCAGAGTTGGGAGGGATCCGCAAGACTCATCCAGTCCCACCCCTAGCCCTGCACAGACACCCCAACAATGCCGCCCTGGGTATCCCTAGGAGCTCTGGCAGCCTGGGGGCTAGGACCATTCCCTGGCAGTGCCCAGGCCTGGCTCACGGCAGGAGCAGCTTCAGAGAAGCCAAGATCACCCTGGACTTGGCTCCTTCCAAGCAGACAAGAAAATGCAAACCCTCCTTTTTGTGGGACAAACAGAAGCACATCAGGGTCTCAGAAAATGGCACCACAAGGACAAACAGTGATGGAGCTGAGCACTGAGAATGAGTTAAAACAACCGAGGGGGTTTGGGGACACCTCTCTGTGCTCTCATTTCAGCTGCTTCAATAACAAAGCATGACCCTGCAGGGCAAGGGCTTCCCTTGCTGTCAGCTGTTCCCCCTTTGCCATGAGGTTTGTGTTAAGAAGTGCCTGAACCTGCTGAGGTGAGTGGGCTCTGGGCACAAAACTGAGCCTCCCCAGGGAAGACGTGGTGTTCCCAAACGCGGTGACAGGAAAATCCTCTGCTCAGGACTGGCTTGTGCCAAGGTTGACACCAGCATCCACCTCGTGAGCACCACCAACCAGGACCACCTTGGACTCAGCTCCTTCCAAATTCACCCCCCCAGCCCCATCCTCCTCAGACCCCAAATCTACAGTCCCAAATCTGCTGGTCAATCCCAAATCTACCCCCAAATCCCTCCCAAGCCACAAATTCACTCCCCTCAGTCCCAACTCTGCCCAACCCTAAATCCAAGCCCTAATTCATCCTTCCAGCCCCAAATCCACCCCCAGCCCCAAATCGCTTTTCAGCCCCAAATCCACTCCCAAATCACCCTCAGTCCCAAATCCACCGTCACAGCCCCAAATCCTTATCCTCCATCTCCAAATCCAGTCCCAAATCTACCCCTAAATCTCCCCCAAAGCTACAAATCCACCCCCCTCAGCCCCAGTTGTGCCCCACCCCATATGCATCTTGTAGCCCCAAGTCTATCCCCAAATCCAACATCCCAGCCCCAAATCCTCATCCCCCCGTCCCAACTCCGCCCCAAATTCCCCCCAGCTCCAAATTCAAGCAAATTCTCAGACCTAAATCCCCCCTCTCAGCCCCAAAATACACCTCCCAGCCCGAACATTCCGTGCACCCCAAAAGCCAGACTCGTGTCGGCAGTAGCGAGTTTTATTCTCCAGTTTCTTCTCCCAGGAGCGGGGCGGGCTCAGAGGGCGCAGTTCCCCTCTCCGTAGCGCCGGCATCTCATCACCTTCAGATAGGTCTCCACCTTGTGCAGGTCCTTTTTGAAGCACGACAGCAGCCCGTAGTTCTTGACCAGTGCCTCCTCGCCGCGCAGGTGGAGCTCGAATTTCTCGTAGGTGGGTTTGAGCACCTGCGGGCCCCGCGGGCTCCGCTCCTCCAGCTCCTGTGGGACAACGGGGACATTCCGCGAGGGGTGTCCCCCAGGGACAAACCTCCTGCCGAGCCCTGGGACAGGTCAGGGGGATTCCCCCTCGCTTTTAAATGGGATTTCAGAAGTGGTTTTGGGCGTGTTTGTGGCAGAACGCACAGGTGGAGGTAGTGCCGCGGGGTGATGCCGCACTGAGTGTGCCAGTGACACACACGGGGCTGCGGGGAGGCAGGAGTGTCCTGGGGGCTTAAAATAAAGGCAAAATCACAGGGGCACTCTGCAGCCCCTCCAGCCAAAGGGACGAGGAACTGCACAAATAATTCTGTCTTCCCCCACTTTCCGAAAGCTCTGATCCAGCCCCACATCTCCATCTGGAGATCTGCACTCAGGCACTCCCCCTGCTGTGCTCAGCACCAGAATGATTTTGGTGAAGTAAAAAGTGTCATAAATTGGTGAAAAAGGAATATTTGTGGCATTTCTCTATATGGCTTCCCAATGCCCAAACACACATAGAATGCAGAGCAAAATCTGCAGTGGTCCTGACACCTTTGCCTTCTTCCTCCAGCACAGAAGCTCTGAGTGTGCTCACAGGGCCTTACTTGCAGAGCTGTTTAACTGCTAGAAGATGTAAATAATGGCCCAGATTAATTTCTCACAGCTACAGCTTCAGGGTGATGTTGGCAAATAAACTTATAGAATAAGCATAATTGAAGGGTGTCCTGGCAGATAATGGGCAATTTAATTTAAAACAACAAACCCAAAATTAAGAAGACCTTAAAGGGGCTTTAAAAGAGAGGGAGACTGACAAGGGAGAATGGTTTTAAACTAAAAGAGGGGACATTCAGGTTAAGTGTCAGGAAGAAATTCCTCCCTTTGAGGTTGTCAGGCCCTGGCACAGGTACCCAGAGCAGCTGTGTCTGTCCCTGGATCCCTGGAAGTGTCCAAGGCCAGGTTGGACAGGGCTTGGAGCAGCCTGGGACAGTGGAAGATGTCCCTGCCCATGGCAGGGGTGGCACTGGATGGGCTTTGAGGTCCTTTCCCACCCAAACCATTCTGGGATTCTCTGGGATCTTCCTTGGAGAGAATACCCTCCAGCTCTCAGCTTGGAGTGTTGTATTAATGGAAGAGGAAAACATCAGCGCGAGTTCTTCCCTGCACAAAAATGTGTTTATAAAATGTTGTGAGGTTTCAAACCTTGCAAAATTTGCCCATTTAAAAGTACTTTGCCTGGAGATATAACAAACATTGTGCTGCTGTTTGTCCCATTAATTTCAGCAACTGGGAATTCCTTGGTGCTGGGTTTGGAAAGATTTTGGATTGGAATGTTGTGATTCCTGGCCGAATCTGTTCCCTGAGGGGTGGTGGCAGTGCTGGTAACACCTGTCCTGTGTTCTTCCCCACCTCAGTGATGGGACCTGTCATGATCTTGTGGGGCGTCATGATCTTGTTATCTAAAGGGAAGTAAAGTCCAAAGTCCCTCTGGAAGGCAGGGAGATTTCTCATGGTCTATGGATCCCTGAGAGTGCCCCATGCCTGGGAGATCTCTGTTATTCCAAAGTCATGCTGGGACTTACCCTCATCAGAGCTTGGATCCCTTCTTCCAGGTCCTTTAGCTTTTCATACACCCTGTCTGAGGTGCCAAAAACCAAGTTGTTTGTGAACACCTTGCTCAGGTACTGTACTGGGGTCAGCCAGGACTGGATGAGAACCAGGGAAAACTGGAGAAGCTCCATGTCCTGAAATTGAGGCAGGAAAGGGACAAAGCTGAGTAGGTGTTTGGTGGAGTGTCCTGCTCCCTCTGGAGCAGCCTGGAGTGACCCAGAGAGGGACACTGCTCCTGCAGCTCCAGTTTGCAGGCTGAGGACACCACCCAGCCCCAGGTCCTGTGCAGACAGCAGTCCTCTCATGCTGGAGCTGGGAATATGATTTATAGTGTAACCCAGAAGATTCTGCAGTATTTAAACAGCAAAGAGAGAGGAGGGTGAAAACACCAAAGGTCTCACAGGTGGAAACCCTCTGATCCCACAGCAGGGACTCTACAGACAGGCCTGTGCCTGCCCCAGGTCAGAACTCACTGATTTCTGCTGGGCATCCTCCTTCCCCGTGGGAGCAGGGATGGTTTCTGAGTAGCAGTAGGCTACCTGGGAGTTTTTGTTGGTGTGCCTTTGATCCTCTGGGATGTAGCTGCGTTCCTGTGGAGACATCCCAGATACACTCAGGTCTGCTGCCCATGGACTAGAGAAGAGCACAGAGAATTCCTGAGCTGTCCTGCACCAGTCCTCTTTGCAAGGAATAAATGGGAGACTGGAGGTACCTCTGGACAGGGTGGAGAGCTGGGAAACAGGAGTTTGTGTGTTGGCACAACACCCTGAAGGTCTCCCTCTCCCTAGGGCAAGGTGCTGCTCTTCAGTAAGGGCCAGTTGTACCCGTGGACAGCAGGTGACTCACTGTCACCAGAGGGAGCAGGTTGTCACAAGGGTGGGCAGACACTGCTCCAGGCAAACTGAAGGAGGAGGAGGAACACACCTGGGACAGGTTCTCCCAAGGAGGAGATGATCCCCAGGGACACCCTGTGCCACAGGGACAGCCTGTGCCAGCACCTGGGTAGCAGCAGACACTTGCTGGGTTTAAGCACTCAGACCCTCACAGGGACAAAGGTGACCAACACAGAGAAATCCTTCAAAATATCTGTGCCACCTCCCAGCTACCCCTGTGCAGGGGGCCTGGACACAGGTGGAAATGGCCCCAAGGAGGCATCAGGCATCAGAGAGGAGACAGAGAGGTGACAGTGTCCAGGCTGGTGGGACATAACCTGCCCTATCCTGTTAAGATTCCTTTTCCTCCCTGAGAGCTTTCCAACAGCTGGGAATTGTCTGGGAAGTTCTACAGTCCTGGAGCCATCAAGGAAACTCGAGAAGGTGCCCTCAAGCCACAGCACTCACAAACTCCTTGTAGGTCTCGGCAGCCAGGAGGTGAAGGTGCTGAGCCCTCAGCACAGCGTTGGCAAACAGGCTGGACAGGGGCATGGCCGGGAAGGTGGCAGCTGCCTGTGGCCACTGCAGTCCCAGGGTGATCACAGCAATGGCCAGAGGAGAGAGCCAGGACCCTGCAAAGTGGAGAGGAAGGTGTTGGGAGTCCTTGGGGACTGTGGTGAGGAGGAGGTGGCACCTGGGAATTTGTTCTCTGCCTGTGCTGGTTCCACACTTACCTTCTGTGGTGCCCTGTTGGACAGCGGGTGGGCTCAGCCCTCCCTGAAATCGAGGGAGACCCTTTCACTGGACCTGCCCTTGAGGCTGGGGCTGCTCCCAGTGAGACCAGCAGTGTCTTCCTGGCTGGAGTTGTGGTTGCTTCATGAAAACTAAGGGGTGTCCCTGTGGTTTTCCCTGACATACTCATGTTTTCCCCTAGGCCTTGTCCCTGCCCTCACTGGGACAAGAGCTGGTGGCATCACCTGTGCTGTGACCAGCTGCTTTTGGTCCCTTTAAGATTTGGTGATCTTGGTCAAGCCTAAAGGTTTTCAGCCATGACATCCAACACAAATGTCCACCTGTGCTCACACAGATCACAAAGCCCAGCTGAAACAAAGACCCTTAGGCAGAGGAGCCTGTAGGACTTGGGCATTATTAGACATCATTCTCATCCCTGTCTGAAGTTTTGAATATGAGTTTTATTATCCATGCCAACATTTATGGTAATAGTAACTATTATAACTGTGGCTTGATCTTGTTGTTTAAGCTCACAACACACTCCTTGCCCACTTTAAGTTAAAGATCAATTAGTGGATTAGAGTCACACTTCAGGGAAAGGTTTTCTTTTCAATGGATTTAGAAATTACCATATTTTTATTTAGAAATGGCAAGGAGTGTGTGTAGCCCACAGAACCACAGAACCACCCCATCATCATCATCATCTCCTGTCACCCTACACACACAGCACTGGAAGCCCTTTAAAACTGAAATAAAATGTACCTCGAGCCATTTTTGCTGGTGAGTTGCTCAGGTGTGGCTTGGTTGGGAATGTTTCCTTCTTTCACCTGGTGAAGGAAACTGTGGAGCCCCCCCTTATATAGCAAGGGGTCTGTTTAAAATGGATCTGTGTGTCCATGATCACAACAACAGCTCTGCACCTTCTCCCTGCATAAATACATAAGTGTTCACGGTGGTGCTACCTCATCACAGGCATTTTCACAGATGTGCAGCTTGAGGAGCTTTGTTTGCCTTGGGATGAGACCAGTGCTCCGTGATTTCGCCATATTCTCCTGTTTATTGCAATTAAAAGTTTCCTCATCACAGCAAGACCCAAATCAGATCATAGTGAGATTGTTTGTGCCCTCCTGATGTTCCTGCCTGGCTCTGCAGCCTTGGCCCACAGGGCTGACTGGCCAGCTTGGGATATTTCTGGCTTAAAGCATGTGGCGAGTGGCACCAGGAGAGGTTTAGGTTGGATATTAAGGAAAAGTTCTGCCTGAAAGGGGTGCCCAGGGATTTAAAGCTCTGTGGATGTGGCACTTGGGGACAGAGGTTAGTGGTGGCCTTGGTGGTGCTGGAGGAATGGTTGGACTGATGATCTTAGAAACCTTTTCCGACCTAAAGGACTCCGTAATTCTCTGATGTTTTCCTCTCTATTTTTTGTGAGGATAGAGCTGGCTGGATGTTGTCAGATGAATCCTATTTCTGCCAAGGAATTCCAATTTCTCCCAAAATGTCAAAAGTTCAGCAACACTTTTGCTGAGCTGGTTTGTCACAGGGGAGACAAGGAGCTGTCCTGCCCTGGTGCTGGTTTGGATTCCAACCTGCCCACTGCAAATCCAGAGCTCTGGGAATTTCCTCAGCTGGACAAGGCTGTGGGAAAACCTGGTCATGAGCATCTTCCTGCTCCTGCCTGAGATGCAAACATGAAATACTGTGAGATTAAGGAGAGGAATGATGTGGAAAGGGGATAGGAGGGATGGGGAAGAAGAGATGGGGAAGGGAGTCAGAGAATCATGGAGTGGTGTGGGTTGGAAGAGACCTTAAAGCCCATCCAGTGCCACCCCTGCCATGGACAGGGACATCTTCCACTGTCCCAGGGTGCTCCAAGTCCTGTCCAGCCTGGCCTTGAAGAGAGGACACAGCCTAGCCATCCCTGTTTTCAAGGAAAACAAGACAGAACCTGGATGGGCAGCTCCAGGGGGTATTTAAAGGACTTTTACTCCACAGAAAGCCCCCATCACTCCAAACCGGACTGGTTTGGCCTTTGCCTGGTGTTCAGGGGGTGTCCTGTGTCCGGGGGTGATTTGGCTCGCCCCGGCAGGCCCCGTTTGCTGTGTGTGGCTCTGGTTTCCAAGCAGCAGCATCACCCCCGGAGCCGCTGGAGCTGCGGGAGTAGAGAGCGGAGAGCTGCTCGATAAACATGAGGGAGAGCAGGGCTGTTCCGAGAATCCCCGGGTGTTGCTGCTGGAGACGCGGCGGTGTCACAGGGAAATGTCAGTCCTGGCAGCAGAGGGAACAGCGGGTCCTGCCGCTATCAGGTGTCCCGTCACCCCACGGCGGCAACATCTGGGCGTGTTTTTATGTTTTCTACTGCAGGTCGTGTTGAAATCCGTCAGGGCTGAGCGAGCCGCCGCTGTCCGGCCCAGCCCAGCCCCGCTGCCTCTGTCCGGCCCGGTCCAGCTCGGCCCAGCCCAGCCCCACTGTCTCTGTCCCCGCCGCTGTCCGGTCCGGCCCAGCCCCGGCTGTCTCTGTCTCTGTCCCGCCGCTGTCCAGCCCAGCCCGGCCCAGCCCCGCTGCCTCTGTCCCACCGCTGTCCGGCCCAGCCCAGCCCAGCCCCGGCTGTCTCTGCCTCTGTCCCCGCCGCTGTCCGGTCCGGCCCAGCCCCGGCTGTCTCTGCCTCTGTCCCCGCCGCTGTCCGGCCCGGCCCGGCCCAGCCCAGCCCCGCTGTCTCTGTCCCCGCCGCTGTCCGGTCCGGCCCAGCCCCGCTGCCTCTGTCCCCGCCGCTGTCCGGGGGCAGAAGCGGCTCCCAGACCTCAGCCGAGCCATTTTCCCTCCCTGCGATTCCTGCCTTCCCAACCCACAGCATCCCATCTAAGGCAGCGTCACACTCCGTGATTTCCACATTCCTTGGAAAAGAAAAAAAAAAAAACCCTTCATTCTCTTCAGGATGGCTCCGTGTCCACCCCACCTTTCCCTGAGCTTTTAAACAAGTGGAACAGCTTTTCCTGGGTGTGCTCCCGGCATGCTGGTGATCTCAGCCCGGGGAATCCTGACCGAGGAGCTGTTGCTGAGCCACAGCCCAGCTCTGCAGAATGTTTGGGGTGTGGGGGATTATCCCTCCGAACTCACTGCTCCAAGGAGAAATTCCATTTCAGATTTATGGGGACTATTTACCAGAGCTGGAACTATTGGGTTTCACTGAACTCCTGTGGGAAGAAGAGGCTGCACCCCCAGGTTCACCTCCCCAGGCAACCCTGCCTGTCTGCCTGAGCATCTCAATGAAAAACAGGGATTTTCCCTCCCTACTATTACCTGGGAGAAGGTTGTAGCCAGGTGAGGGTCGGTCTCTTCTCCCAAGGACAGGAGGAAGCCTCAAACTGTGCCAGGGGAAGTTTAGGTTGGATATTGGGGAAAATTCCTTCCCTGAAAGGAGTGTCCAGCCCTGGCACAGCCGCGCAGGGCAGTGGTGGAGTCCCCATCCCTGGAAGGATTTAAAAGCTGTGTGGATGTGGCACTTGGGGACAGGGGTTAGTGGTGGCCTTGGCAGTGCTGGGGGACACAATGATCCTACAGGGCTTTTCCAACCTGTGTGATTTCATGATTCAATGACAGAAATCAGGACAAAATACAGAGCCTGGGCTGCATAGACTGATATATTTATTAACATTAAATGTGTTTTAAACACAGACCACTCTGAATATAGAATGAAACAAACCCCCATCTCCAGGCTTCTTAGAAACTACTTCAAGCATTTCAAATAAACCAACAACACTACAGAAATATTTATTTACTTCTGACATTTTAAAGGAGGCCAAAACCCTGGGCTAAGGGAGCAACAGAGAAGGACTGGGGTCACAAAAACTGCTTTTGACACAAGTGGTTTCTCACCAGGTGCAAACAGCAGATTTTTCTTTATTTTTTTCTAATTCTAATTCTAATTCTAATTCTAATTCTAATTCTAATTCTTTATATATTTCTATTCTGTTCAGTCACTTGAGTGAGTTGTTTACAGAGATCTGAGGAATCTGGAGCTGGGAAGGCCAGAAAAAACTTCAAACTTCCATTTGGAAACTGAAAACAAGGAATGGAGAGGTGAGCTCTGCAAGTCCTAAAATCTTGGCAAACGTGGAAACCAAGAACAGCCAGTTCTTTTCTCTCCCTGTGAATGCTCCTTTTTTTAAATTAACCAATTTTATAAGTAAAATATACTTAAATAACTTTTCTATATATGTGGCAGAACTAATTTGGGGTAGTTTTATTTAACTAGTAAAAATCAATTCCAAAATGCTGGTTTATATGCTGTTTAAACTGAATTCCAGTTTTCCACTGAGGTGCTTACTGGTAAAGAACCATCCTGTTACTTCTTTTTTGCTTAGAATTGTATCCTTCTCTGGCTGTTGTTGGGGTGCAAAGCAGTTGCAGGAGCTGCTTGGAGCCCAAAATGTCGTGAAACACCAGGACAGAGGTGTTGGGCTCTCTGAGAGGGGACAGTTTGAGCCACAATGTCCTTGTCACCCTCGTCCAGCCAAGCCCCTATACCCACTGTGCCCCCCCAGCCCTGGTTTGGGTGCCCAGCTGGCCCTGAGCCCACCACCCAAAGCTGTTGCTGCCATGCCAAGATAATTTAATCACAAATCCAGATGTTTTTTAGCTTGTCCTTCAAGACTAGACCTAGCTGAGAGTGGGGCTGCTGGCCCTGGGCCCTGTTCTCCTGCTTTGGATCCTGGTGATTCTTGCTGTTGCATCCCAAGCTGATGTTTTGGCACTGTTGAGGTCCTCACAGGTAGCCTCGCATCTGCTCTTGGTTTTCCATTCCTGCCTGCCCTCTGAGTGAAGTTTGAGGAGGTGAAGTTTGGTTTCCAGCTAAGCTGGACACAAAAAGCTGCTCATTAGTCCCAGGAAACCAGCACCAGGGTTATGGGACACCCCTGGAATGGGCATGGCAGGATGGAGCAGGATGAGGATCTACCCATTACCTTTATTAGGACTTCAAAAGCAGTTGGAGATTTGTGTACCACAATTTATAATTTTCCCAGATGTTCTGAGGTCACACAGGTCCCTCATCATGGGGACGACCTTCTGACAGGGGCCAGCTCTTGCTTGGGGAGCAGCAAGCCTTCTCCCCAGCTCTTCCATAGTCTTTGGAGAAAATGAGGTGCTTTGGGGGGATCCTCCACCTCAGACCTCTCCCAGCTGGGCCTGTGGACACAGCCATGGCTTTGACAGCTGAAGAGTGGCCCAAAATCCACTTCTCACACGGTGCTGTTGGCAGTGCCCTTGCAGTGCCAGGTCCTGTCCTTCCTGGGGTGGTGGGGCTGGAGCAGAGCCCTCATTCCCAGTCCTTCCTTGGCACTGACCAGGCTGGAGCTCAGTGCTGGGTGTGGGGCTGCCCGGGCTGGGCGACCAGTTTTCTACTGGGGGATCACAGGTGGCTCCTAATTTCTACAGAGGCTTTAGGAGTCGGTCAGCGGGGTGGGGACAGTGGCAGTGGGGTGGGGCAGCCTCGGGGACACAGCCTGGACAGGTGAGCAGCCCAGGGCAGCGGGCTCCCAGCCCTGAGCTGGGCTGTGCCGTGTTGGCAGCCCGGGATCCGGGCAGAGCCGTGCTCCAGGGGATCCGTCCCCACGGGGGCTGGCAGGGCCTGGAGGGGGGCGCAGGACCCCTCACTCTTCACCTGGGTGCTCCCCCACTGTCCACTTGGCTTTCACGTCCCGGAAAGGAGTGATGTCCTCGTAGGTGGCCATCTGCTCCACCTCCAGCCCCTGCAGCAACACAAAGGAAGGTGGGACACGGCAGGAGGTTCCAGCCATGGCACAACCCTTGGGACACCCAGCTGGGGACCCTCCCAGGCTGTTCCCCCTGAGCCTAGAGCAGCTTCTGACAGGGACAGAGGATGGGGATGGTTGGATGTTGGATGCTGGATGTTGGATGTGCACTAGATGCTTCCTGGGGCAGCTCAGCACAGCTGATGCATCATTTGGGGGGAAGGTGCCCTGATCCTCCTCCCAAGGAAGGGGCTATAAGGTGACCCCCAGCAGACACCCAGCAGGGGCACAACCCCCTGTGTGAATGCTCAGGTGCTGTTAGGGAGGTCCTGCTATCCATGATTACCTCATAGGTGTGGTCCTCCTCTGGGCTCTTCTTGTCTTCACCCTATGGAGAGTCACAGGTTGGGGTCAGCACCCGCCAGGATCCCCTGTTCCCAGCCTTGGTCCCCCAGACCAGGTCCCACCACTTCCACAGACACATCCACGCAGTCCCCACACAGCATTTGAGATGGGTATGTTCCCATTTCAGATATCCAGGTTCCCACCCACAACCCCAAACCCATCCCACACCCAGGACTGGCCTGCCTGGGATGCTCTGCAGGACACTGCTGTGAGCCCAGCTGGGGACATCCCCTCTGCTGGAGGCACTGTCACTTGCCTTATCTAGGAAGAGGAGGATGGGGATGCTGATGAAGATGACGAGCAGGATGGACTGGATGATGATGATGGCGTCTTTCAGCGTGTTCCTGTTCTGGAACTGCTTGATGCTGCTGGTACCTGGGAGCAGCAGCACAGGGAGAGCCCCGGTCTCACCTCTGTGCCAGGCTGCAGGGGGAGGGATGAGCTCGCCATGGCCAGTGTGTCACCAAGGGGGGATGTGGGGACCAGGGTGACCTGTCTTCTGCATTGGGAAAGACCAGAGCACTGCAGCTGCCCCCAGAGCTGGCATCAGGGACCAGCTCTGGGATGGGACACCTTGGGCAGCACCCGGCAGTCACCAGGAGCAGGACAAATCTGATTTATTAAGGACCTTGTCCCTGTTTTTTTCAGGATGGCTATGACAGGGCAGACCCAGGGAGGTTTTCCTGCTCCGTGGGGCTGGCAGTGAGGAGCAGAACCTCTGGGGTGCCATAAAGCACCCACAGCTGGGTCAGAGAGGGTCCCACTGGCACAGGGAGAGGTGTGGGAGCACCACGTGGGGCTCATATGGAGGGGGAAATGGGAGAGGAGGAGAAAAAGCATCTCCTGGGGTGCAGGAGGACGGGGAGCTGCCACTCACCCATGACCCGGAGCTCTGTCCCACACGAGTGCAGCTTCTCCTTCTGCATCAGGCCCTTCCTATCGCACACGTAGATCCCACTGTCCTCTGAGGTGGCCCTGACCAGAGTGAGGTTGATGGAGGTGTTTGTCCTCTCGATGCGGTAGCTGGCCGTGTTCTGATCCAGCCCAGAGAGGTCATCCCTGTCCTTTGCTGTCTTGTACCACTGCATCGCCTGGGGCTCCTGGGAGTAGCAGATGAGGTAGATGGGCATGTTCTTCCTGACGGCCACGTACCGCATGTTCTGGTACACCGGGGAGCACCTGCTGCCTGCAGGGGACAGGGCTGTCACTGCAGCCACTCCCATGGGAACCCCCAGCACCTCCCAAACAAACAGCTTCCCGTTTTCATGCTGCTTTTGAGCACCCAGCTTGGTTTTGGTGAATTATCCTCATCACAGGCCCCCAGGGAATGGTCCCAGCCCCGAGACTGCAGCAGCTCCAGGAGTATTTGGACACCACTCCCAGGGATGCCCAGGGTGGGATTGTTGGGGTGTCTGGGCAGGGCCAGGGGTGGGACTGGATGATCCTTGGGTGTCCCTTCCAATCAGGATATTCTGTGATTCTATGAGATCTGAGGCTTTTAATTGATGCCTCAGGTTTTAGCTTTTCTATTTTTCACATTCTGTGCTGTGTTAGTGTGCACTTCTGACCTTCACATGAGGGGATGGTGAGCTCTCTGCACAAATCAGGGAGACAAAGCAATTCCTTCTCTAGCTGGGGACCAAGGACAAATTATCTAGATCTCTGGCCCAAGAGCACAAACAACGTGGTCTGAAGAGAGAGAAGCAAGAAGGATGGGGCTGCCTGGGCTAAAGCTGGAATTGGACAATGAACTCCAATATGCAAATGGACCCAAACTTATAAAAGTGTGAGATCCCGTGATTGGTGGGGAAATTTGTGACCATTTTGGTTCACCTGGGGTGTAGCCCTGCCTGGGCTCTTGTGCTGCCCAAGGTGCATCCCTTGAGGCCTTCCAATAAATATCTCCCTGTATTCTTCAGCTCCATCTAGTCTCTGTTCTAGGGCAGCCTTCACAAGGCATCATAATGGAAACTCCAATTTTCTGTGGGGATACCTGTGCTCCAATACTTCTGTCCTGCTCCCACCCCTCTCTGTGCACATTTAGTTAATCGCAGCTCCAAAATTACAGCCTGTCGAATCCCAGCTGGTTTCTCTTTTGCTTCCACATTTTTTTGCCTTTTGCTTTATTTTGTATTTTTTTGGCCATGTTTTAGTCCAGGAGCGGTGGCTTTAGGAGCCTGTTTGGGTTGCAGAGGTCACCCTTAGGGCCCCACCGGTGGGAATGGCACAAGGACAATGGCAAAAGTGCTGTGGCACAAGGCCAGTGCTGGCCCCAGATTTGGTCATGCAGCAAATGCAAAAGGAAAACCTGTGGGTGCTCAGGAAAGACAAAGCAGACCCGACTTTGCAGAGAGAGAGGAAGGAGCAGGATTGGGGATGAGCCATGGGGGATGTCACAGCCTGGGAATGGCCTTTGTGGGGAGAAAAGCCTGTGGGGGGTGGGACAGCAGCTCTGTGGGGCAGGAGGACGCTGGGGGACACACGCAGGGGAGAAGCCCAGCAGGTCTGGGGGTACCTGTGCTGTTCCCAGTGCTGTTCTTGTCTGCTGAGATCCCACCTGCAAGACAGGAGAAGGGCTGAGATCGTGGCCAGGAGCCCACCAGGATGTCCCCAGTGGGATGGATGTGCCCTGGCCCTTCCTGCCTACACCATAGGGGATGGAGTTCTGAGGAGCAACAACAGAGCCCTGCTCAGAGGACCTGGGGCAGTGCAGATTTGGGTACAAACCTTTCGATTTCCATCCTGTCTCCTGAAAGTTTTCCAGGTGGTTTTCTGGTTGATACCCCACCGAAACCTGCTCTCTATAATGTCTCCGAGGCTGGTGCCTCTCAGGAAGGCTCCAGATACTCCCAGCTCTGCATTCCCACTCCCTGGACCGAGCAGAAACCCTTCCCTGATGGAATTTCCTGGGCTTGGAGCCCTGTGGTGGCCAGGGGTGTTCCCAGATCCTGTGGCCACACAGCCCCCTGGGCTGTGGGCTGGTGCTGTGGGACCTGCAGTGCAGGAAGCAGGGGAGGTGGGGACCCCCCCAGCACCCACGGGTGCCCTGCCCACAGCTCCAGTGCTGCTGGGCCTGGTTCCTCTTGCTGCAGCTGGGCAGGAAGCCCCAGCCCTGTTTACTGCCCCGCTTGAGTGCCCAGATCCCTCCTCTTGGTGGAGAGTCACCAGACGCTGTGGAGGAGCAGGCACAGAGGTGGGGCTGCAGCACCTTCCTGCAGGGCAGCTGCAAACCTCCCCATCCCCAGAAGGAGAAGAGGGAACAGAAAAAGAAGAAGAAAGGTTCAGTTCCCCAGCCTGAGCTCTGTGCCACCTCCTGCAGACTCCCAGCCTGCAGGGACCTCCTGCCTTGGGCAGGGGCTGCTTTCATTGCCCCAGAGCCCCTTCCAGGTCCCTGCTGCCCTGTTCACATTCAGCACCGACACCTCCGCAGGCAAATCCTCCCTTCCAGCCCCATTCCATTTTGTTCCAGGATGAGATGCCCTTTGTCCTGGCTGAGCACTGGCTGTGTCCCTGGCACAGCCTTGAGCCAAGGCTTTGCTCCCCAGGTCCTGTTGGCATTTCCAAAGGAAGACCAGGCTGGGCCCAACCTGAAAGCGCTCACATCCCTCCGAGCCAGGAGTTCCACTGCAGCCACAAGTGGGCTGAACTTCCTCTGTCCTCCCTCAAAATCATAATGAGAGCCAAATTCAAACCCTGCAGCCTTGAATCTGTGCTGGACTTGTGTGGCACCAGAGGAGCCCTTGAAATGCCCTTTGTCCCATGGGCACACATTTCCCTCTGAGGTGGGATCTGCTGCAGGTTCTTGTCGCTGTCCCTGCACCAGGCAAGAGGAGCTGGGAGGGGACAGGAGCCATGCCCTGGCTTTTGCTCCTGCTTCTCTAAGGGGATCAGTGTGGGGATGTGCACACAGACTGCACATATCACCCCAAAAGCCTTTTTCCTCCCATTTCTCCTCTGCTCCTGGGGACTGAACCCTACAGAGCAGAGGCCATAGCCTTGGCGATGTGCCAGCCCCATTCCCAGGCCTCTGAGAGTAATAAATGGTTAATAAACCTCAACAACCCTTCTTTCCTGCCACCTGCAGCCCCAGCCAGGCTGCCTCTGCACCCGCTCGCCAAAGCCACCTGCCTGCCCCAGGGTGTCCTGTCTGCACACCCCAAGGGAAGCAGAACCCAAACCCAAGGCAGGCACTGGGCTCCGAGCCCTGTGTGCCCTCCTGGGCTCCCTGGGAGGCTCCCAGCACAGAGCAGGACTGAGAGAGACCAGCACAAAACTTAAAATTATTGCACTGAGAGGCAGAGGGGGGGGTGAGCCCCCGAGCAGGGGACACAGCCCAGGCCATTGTCCTGGTTCCTTGCTCTGAAGTACAAACCCCGTTTGGTGCCTACCTGTGAGCAGAGCCAGCAGCCAGAGGGTCACCAGGAGCAGCCAGAGCCTCGTGCCCAGACCAGCCATACCTCAGTGCCCAGGGCAGGAAAACATCCAGCCTGTGCTTCTGCAGAAACAGCGGCTGCTCCCACCACCCTGGCCCCAGTACCTAAAAATGGCAACGCCGCTGCTCTGTGCTCAGCCCCTTTCCTGCTCATGTAAATCCTCCCCGTGGGGGACTTTCCCTCGGGGCTGGTTTTGAATGCGGCACAGACGCTGGTGCGGCCATGCCTGTGAGCCCCGGGTCCCTGGGCACTGTCCACCCTCCTGTCCCTGGGCACTGTCCACCCTCCTGTCTCTGGGCATTGTCCACCCTCCTGTCCCTGGGCACTGTCCACCCTCCTGTCCCTGGGCATTGTCCACCCTCCTGTCCCTGGGCACTGTCCATCCTCCTGTCCCTGGGCATTGTCCACCCTCCTGTCCCTGGGCACTGTCCACCCTCCTGTCCCTGGGCATTGTCCATCCTCCTGTCCGTGGGCATTCTTCACTCTCCTGTCCCTGGGAATTGTCCACCCTCCTGTCCCTGGGCATTGTCCATCTCTGTGTCCTGGGCACTGTCCACCCTCCTGTCCCTGGGCACTGTCCACCCTCCTGTCCCTGGGCACTGTCCACCCTCCTGTCCCTGGGCATTGTCCACCCTCCTGTCCCTGGGCACTGTCCATCCTCCTGTCCCTGGGCATTGTCCATCCTCCTGTCCCTGGGCATTCTTCACTCTCCTGTCCCTGGGCATTGTCCATCCTCCTGTCCCTGAGCTTCATCCACCCTCCTGTCCCTGGGCATTCTTCACTCTCCTGTCCCTGGGCACTGTCCACCCTCCTGTCCCTGGGCACTGTCCACCCTCCTGTCCCTGGGCATTGTCCACCCTCTTGTCCCTGGGCATTGTCCATCTCTGTGTCCTGGGCACTGTCCACCCTGGTGTCCCCCACTGGCTCCCTGTGGTGCCAATATTCCCTGGAAGTGGTCAGGACTGGACCTGCAGCAGAGCTGGGGATGAGCCCATCTGCAAAGCAGGAGGTGCCAAACCTGGCTGAGCACGAGATGAGCCCAGGGAATGGGATTGGTGCTGCCTGGCCACATCTCTGGGGGACAGGATGGGGGTGACCCCCAGGGGTTCCCCCCAGCTCCACAGATCCCCCCAGGGTGTTTGGTCCTGAAGGGGATGGGCAGTGACTGATGGTGGCCCAGAAGCCAAGAGTTGCAGCAGGAATGGGATAAGAATAGGGGATGTTTGTGGGGCTGCTTATTGTGGGATGCATTGGGATGGGTCCCTCAGCTCCCACTCCTGCATCCCAGGGGGTCCAGAAATTCAAAATCATGGAAGCATGAGTCAATGACAAAATCATCGTAGTTTGCAAAGACCTTTGGATCATCAGCTCAGCAGCAGCGCCATGACCACCACTAACCCTTGCCCTCAAGTGCCACATCCACACATTTTTGGAGCACTTCCAGGGTAGAAGATGAGATGGGGAAATTACCAAAACAAGGAGTCACTTGGGTACCAGGGATCAGGAACAGGGCAGAAGCTCTGGGAGCTGCGCTGGAGGTCCCAGGGGACAGCCCTGGGGACTCCTGTGCAGGATGAGACCCCCAGATCCTCCTGAGGTTGGCAGGTCCGAGGCTGAGCACAGGGAGCCAAGGGAGGGGGTGTTCATCCCTCCTGGCGCAGGGAAAACATTCCTCCCCCAAGACACCCCAACACACTTGGTACTGTAATAACAGATCATTTACTGTTGTTTATTGTAAGAAATGTACAAAGAAAAACGGCTTTAGCTCACACAAACCCCATGACACAAAGGTAGAAGCAGCATCGATTGTGAACCACGGTCCGGGCAGGGACTGCCATGCCAGGGGTGCTTCCCACGGAAACGCCGGGACAGCAGCTCCGGCTCCTGCTGCAGGGAGTATCGGCATGGAAATGAGGGCACACGGCCACGGGACAAGCCGAGTGTCCCCGGCTCTGCCACCCAGCTGGCAGCTCATGGGTCCAAGCCAAGCTCAGCACCGCTCCTGGCCGGCCTGACCGTGGGGCACCTGTGATGGCAGCGCCCGAAGCAGCCCGGGAAGAGAAGAGAATCATCAGAGTACAAAAAGACAGAGCCTTTGGCTTCAGGAACGGCCTTGTTTGAACTGGAAGAGGTTTTGGTTCATGTTTGTTTTGATCTCAAGAGGGTTTTTTTCCCTTTTGAAAGCAGAAGGTGGTCAGAGGTGAACTCGGGGCCTTTTGCCCATTTTTCACAGAATCACAGAATAGTTTGGGTTGGAAGGACCTCAAAGCCCATCCGGTCCCTGCCATGGACAGGGACACCTTTCACTATGCCAGGGTGCTCCAAGTCCTGTCCAACCTGGCCTTGGACACTTCCAGGGCTGGGGCAGCCACAGCTGTGCCTGGGCCATTTTCCTTGATTTACTTTCCTTTTGCTCACCTGTGTGAAGAACAGAAAATCCCTTTTCCCCCTGGAAAAATGCTCCTCTGCCTGGAGGTTTCCTGGTGAGGACCTGCCTGGCCCATCCAGAATGTGCCACTGGGCCTCTCTGCAGCTCCACCCTAGGGGAGGATGTCTGCATGAGGATTTTGGGATTCACACCCCAGTGGGATCGTTTATTACATGCAGCCACCTGGGGTTTGGGTGGGATTTAGTGCAGCTCGTGGAAAGGATCATTCAAACATCTGCTCCGATCCCTGGGCATGCATCTCATTAATTAACACTAATGAAGAGGACATTTGGAATTCCAACCAAGAGCACTCCAGTGGGATGGTTCCTCTTGCAACAGGGATAGAAAAAACCCTGGAGAGTTTTGTGCTGAGGACCAGGGATTCTTGGAGGATGTTTTCCAAATTCTACTTTTGCCCATTGCTTTCCTGCCACAAAACCTGGATGGAAATGGGAAAACTGAGTAAAAACCTGACTATAAATAGTGTTTACATTCAGCCTACAGAGACCTGAATGATTTCTGCTTTCAATGCATATTCAGAGACCTTGAAAACCTGATATTTAACCCTGAGAACAAATCTGCAGATGCTTTGCTTTGGCTTTGCAAACCAATTTTTAAGACACAGTTGCACTTTCTCTTGTATGTAACAAAAAATAATCATCAAGCTTATTCAGAGGTTCAAAAGAAAGGTGCTACTTTAAGACTTTGGAGATTTTTGTTCACAAAACCTTCTGTTTTCTATAATTATTCTTAATATTATTTCACTTGGCTCATCTTTACTGGTTGCTTGCCTGTACTCTGGAAGAATAAAATACAGGAAAATCTCTTAATTGTGAAATAACATTAATAAATAATTACTTTAAGTGAAAGGACAACCATACTCTTCTGTTCACGTCTGAAAACCATTATAACCGTGATGAGATTATTTCAAAACTAACTGGTTTCTCTTTCACCGACAACAGATTTCACATTTGAATTCTCATAAGAAAAAGAATTTAACTCTTTGCAAGTGCAGTGGGCTGTAAAACCCAGGATCAGGAGGAGATCCTGCTTTGAAATTCAAGGTGGTTTCTTGAAATATCTGAAATTAGCTCAGTATCTAAGATCTAGAGATCTGTGCATGGAAGAGCTTTGAACAGGAGATACAAATTAAGTCTCTTCAGGCTGGGCCAGAGGTGGATTCTCCTTGTGTTACACCAGCGACTCTTTCACCACATGTTCCTTACCCCACGCCTGTGCTTCCTCAGGAGCATCCTGGGGTGTCTCTGAGCTGGGAATGGGCTTGAGGCCCAAGGCAGGGGCAGTGTCCACGTCTGTCCCACTGTTCCCATAGATCTCCTGCATTTTGGTGGCTATCAGCCCTTCCTTCTCGGGCGCGTCCTCACCCAGGGTGTCCTGGCTGTGCCTGTACATGTAGGACGCCTGCTTCACCGAGCGCCTCAGGAGGTACCTCCGGAAAGCCCTCTGGATCTTGGTAGCACACACCTCCTCGTGTTTCCTCTTCAGGGTGGTGGTGATGGGTTCATAGGAAACCTTCGAGGGGTTGGCAGCCATGAACTTCTCCTCCATGGTGGCCTTCAGGGCATCCATCTCTCCCGAGTCTCCCAGCACTTCCTTAGTCAGGGCAAAGAGGATGTCCAGGCAGTGGATTTTGTCCCCAGCAACCATTGGTAGATCCATGGTGATGAGTTTGATCTTGTTGGGCTTGGGAACTCTGAGTGGCTCCTGCAAGGTGTCCACAAAGTCAGACAAGGTGCTGTAGGCGATGAACTGGGTGGCGTCTGGGTCAAACTTCTCCCAAGTTTCATAAAACATTTCAAAATCGTCTTCACAGAGGGGCTCGCTGCTCTCCTCCGTGGCCACGCTGAAGTTCTCCAGGATGATGGCGATGTACATGTTCACCACGATGAGGAAGGAGATGATGATGTAGCTGCAGAAGAAGAAGATGCCGATGGCGGGGTTCCCACAGTCTCCTTTCACCAAACTCCCAGGGTTCTCCAGCTCGGGGTCGCAGTCCGGGGGGCCGCTGTTGAGGATGGGGTTGAGGAGCCCATCCCACCCCGCCGACGTGGTGATCTGGAAGAGGCAGATGATGCTGTTCCCAAAGGTTTCGAAGTTGAAGATGTCATCAATGCCTGACTCCTTCTTGACGTAGGCGAAGTTGGACATGCCGAAGATGGAGTAGATGAACATGACGAGGAAGAGCAGGAGGCCGATGTTGAACAGGGCAGGCAGGGACATCATCAGGGCAAAGAGGAGTGTCCGGATGCCTTTGGCTCCTCGGATCAGCCGCAGCACGCGGCCGATCCTCGCCAGCCGGATGACCCTGAAGAGGGTGGGGGACACAA